GCTCTGACGGGCCGCGCCGGCGGTCTGCTGGCCGACAGTCGCGGTCGGCAGAAACAGAGACACGAGCGACGGTCGGCGCCCGTCTCCAGCAGCGGCCGCAGTAGGGGCAGGAGTAGCCAGAGGCGCCGCAGTCAGCGCCGTCACGCCGGCGAAAAGGTGAGGGACAGAGCCGCCGCACTGGACCTGTGCTGACCGAATGGACCCATCACGGGCTATTGCGCGGACAAGGTAGGTAGGCCAGGCCATGGCCAGGCGCTGGAGGAAATGCTTACATAATCATAAGTGATGCGAAACTCACATTATTGCGCTGAAATTAAGTTTCACAGTCCTTTCGTTTGGAGCAATACCAACGACAACGCTCTCGTATGAAGAGGCGAGAAAGGCGAAACTTTTATAGCCCACGTCCTACTTCGGCTTCAGGATTTCCAGGCCTTGCTGGGTAGAGTGTCATTCAGCTCAGTTCAGGGCATCAAGCGGTAGGCAGTGTTCGGAAGGCACGATCTGCAAACTGCCCCTCCCCCCATGCCGAAGGGCCCCAGGCCCCAGCCCAAAAAGCTGCCCTACATGCACTCATACAGGCCTGCTGAGGCCCGAGATGGGCCATCCAGGTCTTTTCAATGTTCATTTCAGGTCATTTTTGGACGATCTTCGGCGGTCTAAGGATTAGGGACCCATTTGAGGACCATTTGAGATGGCCGAAGTCCGCCTCAAATGGCTCTGGCTAATTCGAATGGGCAGGACACGGGCCCGCGTGTCCCCACCTTTGTGTGCGCCGCCCTCACCCTGGACGAAAGGGGAGTGCGGCAGCTGCATTCCAGGCGTCTTTCGTGATGGCTCGGAATGCTCTGGCCAGACTCCAGAGAAGGATGAAATCTGGCATATCTGATTTTTATTCAAGCTAGTCTTTGTGGCATCAATTGCAATTTCAGTTCAGGTCAGGTCCTTGAACTATGATGCTATGCTATACCTAACCTTAGCCGGCCGAGGGTGAGGGTGGGTGCCGCCCCGCCCCTCCCGGCCCTCCCCCTATAGTTTTTTTTTCGCGACAGCTCGGAACACGCTGACGATAGAGAGCTGAAACTTGACATACCTGCCTGACCTTTGATTCAAGTCAGATCTTGTGAAACCAACTGCATCTTCAGGTCAGGTCAAAATGCTCGCCATAAGCTATACACCGGGTAACGATCGCCTTGAAACTTTCGGCGATTGATTAGAGTAGCAGTAGGTATATGTGAAATGTATGTCTAGGATTGTTGATATCGGTGATCTAACTTCAGGTTGGTTTTGCCGGTGCCCTCTTTATAACTATAAGTTAGAAGTCAATAGGAGAAAATGGAAGTCGTCTCTTTTGGACGGGCGCTATTCTAAACACTCTCAAACATCGGCATCAGGTAATCTTGACAGTTGACATACTGAATAAGAAAATTCCCCCTGTGACCTCTTCTTAGGTATGTCAACGAGGTCATCTCAGGTCATGAAGGTCTCCAGCAGTTTTTGGCAAAAACTTTTCATAGAAAACATGCTAGATGGATGAAAACACCTTAGATGTGTTTCGGTTAACAATACGGATCGGCTGATATGCAGCATGACTTTTCCCGGTCAGGTCATGACGTTGACCTGAGGTCAAACTTTCAAAATGACCTTTAACCCTCGCCGGCACAGGCCATTTTGAGTCCTTCGACGGCACAATGGGGTTGGTACGACCCCCCCCCCCCTTCGCGTTTGGCCCCTGATGGAGCTAGAACTTCTCGGAAAAAAACGAGCGTGTTGCCCGTCACGAGAGGAAGCCAATGACACCCAATTTTAAGGTCCTAGGTCATCGGTTGACCTTCCAGGTCAGATCAATGACAAAAAAATCGGAAATATCGGGACCTGTTAGAAAGTCGTAAAGTGTGGCTGCTAAGGGGTTTTCCGGGGTGCTGATCACGAATTTTATGATAGTCTTGATCATATATGATGTCTTAACCCTATTAGTGGCAGGCTTCTGGCTACCCCTATTAGTGGCAGGGGGGGCTGTTTACGACCCCCCCCCCCCTTGATATCTCGAGATCTAACGGGCCGATTTTCAAAATTCAAACGGCATTCGATTTCGCTCAACGTGATCTACATTTCTAAAAAATAAAAATTAAAAAAATGTCAATAGGGGGGGGTAGAGGGGGGTAAAAACGGGCAAATTGCAGATACATTTTAGACTGTTTATCACGGCAAGGTTTCTGAACCAATCTTAACGCAACTTTTGCCGATCGATAGAGAATGAACCAGGAATTCACATGGATCCTAAAAATATGCATTTTCAAAAATCATAGGCGGATACAGATCATTGAGATTGGGGGTACACAAAAAGTATAGTAAATAAGGTTTTTGTTGGTACTGTTTCTAAAAAGGGTGGTAATGGTCTTGTTATGTTACAATTTTCTTATGAGAGAACGACTACAATTGTATTGGTCATGCATAGGCGGTGTCAGGGCACCTATGTTGGGAGGTAAAACATAACCTCCCTTTTTGGACGCCTGGATCCGCCTATTATAGCAAAAACGTGTCAAAAGAGGATGCACAATAACTTTGTATATGTTATCACATGATGCCTTTCATTCACTGTTCGTAAAACTGGTGCAGCATCGTGATCTTCGCCCAAATGACTCGCTTCACGAATAGGACCCCCAATTCCCAGTGCTCTTGAGCCGCCCCTGGTAAAGTTATGAACTTGAAATTTTCAGGGAATGTGCCCAATTTAGTTTTAGGAAAAGTCTGAAAATTTCAGCATCGTAGCTTCAGCGGTTTCGGAGATATTCCCGAAAAACCTGAGGCGTGGATAAAAACAACCCCCTCTGCCACTAATAGGGTTAACCCTCGCCCGTAAACGGTCTTTTGCCACCTTCGCCCATGCAGGGGGGGGGGGGGTTGGTGCGACCCCCCCCCCCTGGCGTTTGAAAACGGAGCGTCGTAGAGCTTAGCGGAAACGACCAACGGTTTGCTCTCAACGAGATCTCGCGATTGGTGGTATATTTTTTGGTCCTAGGTCAATATTTGACCTACTTATGACCGGTCAAAGGTCAAATTTTCGGAAAAATCCAACTTTTTCAGATTTCCGCGCCGATTGCGGCAACACGGTAAGAGATATCGACTTGAAACCTTCACTATCGTGATCCTTGATCAATTCTCTATCGTTTGGTGTGTATTTCGATGTCATAACTATAAAAATGATGCGTCGGGAGCATCGGAAGTCTGGAAGGTCATTTGTGCATCGGGTCACGTCAGGCGTGTGACGTCACTGACCTGACCCTGACCCAAAATGAACTCCAAGAAACAACCGACGATGCCTGAAATGGATAGCAAATTCGAATTCAGGGTATCAAAATACCCCGAAAAGGCATTCAAGTGCAAGAAGTCATTACAGGTCAACCGAGGTCACTGACCTGACCTTGACCTTTAGTAACCTTGAAAAGGTCAACGGACATTGTGCCAATGTCAAATCAGCCAGTTATGATTCTAAAACAATCCATCAGTGTGTCAGGTCAGTCGGCATTTATACCAATGTGAAGCAATCTCCAATTTAGCGTAAATCTGGCAGGAGGTTGTTCCCTTTATGACGTCATAACTCCGTGACCTGACATGACCTTGACAAAAAAAAAACAAAAGTTGCGCAAAGGATGCCCCATAGGGTACTGAAAATTTGAGCAGGCTATCTGAAACGGTTCGGCGTGTAGCTAAGAAAAACCTCAGGGGGGGGGGGGGTTGCACCAACCCCCCCCCTACATGGGCGAGGGTTAATACATTTAGGTCAGGTCGGGTCGGGTCAGGTCAAGTCAGGCCAACCGGTAGGCGTCCTTGTCGGGTATTCATAGTAGGTCTCAACCACCACTGACAGCGTCGTAACATGCTACGAAGGCACCAAACTACTTTGCAAATGTTCAAATAGTTGCTAAATTCGAAATCAGCTCCAAGAACTACGGTAGAAACATGTCAAAATCGGAAAGTCATCGGAAAGACATGGTCATCAAAGGTCAATGACCTTGCCCTGACCTTCACCTGACCGTCCTTGACGGCCACCATAATGCATGGGCACAGCGGTATTATTTCACGTGCTTGAAAGTTTAAAACCACAAAAAGACTGAGTAAACGCACGGATAATTCGAGATGACATACGCCGAATCTGCGCCGAATCGCGATGCCGGCCAACCATGGCCTCGAAAAATCGGTCACAGGTCAAAGATTCTTTGAGTCAGGGTCATGAAATTTCCCAGGTATGTGTAAAATATATTGATTCGAGGGTACTAAAAGTGACGTCGTGATCGGCCGTTTGTTGTGCTAGTTATTTGCGATAAACCGAGGGGTCCGTTCGATCCCCCCTACCTAAGCGTGAGGGTTAATAGGCAAAACCGCTCTTTCTAATTCTGAAATGAAATAAGCGACTGCCAGCTGCGTTAGCCTGCAGGCTTCGTTCTACATAACTATTAACTAGTTTCAGTGGCCATGAGAGCAGAGAGCGTCGCCGTCGGCAGTTAGTTACCGCCGGCCGCTAACGGATCCGATACGAGCGGCGCGGTACGGCCGTGCTAGTGTCTTGTGCCGAAGTGCAGTCGCCGGCTCCCGTCCTGTGCGGGCGGCGCAGTCTCCCCCGCCGCGCGTTAGTCTCCCTGTCGGTGGCTGCAGTTTTTTTTTCTCCCACGCTGTCGGGACATGAATGGCCTATCAAACTAGTCACCGCCGTGTCGGCACGCGGCCCTCGGTCGGCGACTGTGCGGCTGGGGTAATGGTCGCCGTCCGGTCGGTCTAATTGAGCACCAGGCACTCCAAGGTCCCCCGTACCGCCGACTGGTCCGAGCGCTCCGTCGACTCGCCCGGTCGGCCGACTCCGTGGCCGAGTGAGCACCATCAGTCCGGCGGCGCCGGGCGGTGCATACCTGCGGACCAGGTGGGCCACACAGGTCACCCCCTTGACGGTCAGCGGGGGCGCCGCGGGCGACGCCAGTCACCTGCGGGCGCGCCCACCGACCGGCCCCACCTGAGATACACCGGTGGCGGGCCATCCGGGACGGCCGGCGTACCGGCGCCGCCCTCCGGGGCCGACCTTGACGCGCCAACATAAGATCCGTCCAACTGAAGGCGCTCCGTGGCCGCGCGGCGTCTGGGAGCGCCATGTTGGCGAGCGACGGCTGGCCGCCGACCGCCGAGCACGAGTGTCGCGGCGGTGGGGGTAGCACCGAGAGGGCCTGTGCGTGGCGACCGAGCTGTGGTGACCGACGGTGTGGCGGTGCCGTCGACAATCGTGGACTGCGTGCGAGGATGCGTGGCGGCTGACATGAGGATGGAGGCCGACTCGGCCGGAGCCCAGGTGAGTTGCAAACGCCGAGCGCCGAGACCTGCCGTTTATTACGAGCCAGTGCGGTGGTGATGCGTCACCGCACTGGTATGCGAGTTCGGCGCTGCTGGATGGCCGAAAACTAGTCGAACCCACTGTTCCAAGCGTCCATGGATCGACCCGTCCTCATGTCGACTGGTTCTCGTGTGCCGATGCGACGGACGGCGGATAGCAGGTGCAAACGAGGCACCTGCCCCGCGGCACGAGCACCTGTTGACCACCGGAGCTCCATTCACCACGCGGAGAGGAGCGGGCACCGGGCCAGCCGACTCGAATACAGACGGCGGGAGGCGGGCCAGGACCCAGATACATGCTCAGAACTCCAATGCACATGTCGTACTCAGGCTAGGATTCTGATACTGATACAGGCGGTTGGCAAGGATTCTGATTACAGGACAGGCGTCTGGCCATGATTCTGATGCAGAATCCCACGTCGGGCCAGGATGTTTCTTCGTGATACAGGCGTTGGGCGGCATGGACCATCAGGTATCTGTTGGTACCGGCGTCCGTCTCTGAGGGACCCAACTCAAACTACATGAGCCAGTATCTGAGCCGGCAATACCGCTGCGGGACGGTACTGTAGTCGGCGGCGCCACGGTCCGTGTCCAACGGCCGGGTCTAGGTAGCGGTTCACAGACCTCTCTTTCCCAGCCATGTATTACTCATCCCTGGTTTACAATAGCTAGGTAAACTCAAGACCGGAATGCACTGTTGTAGCCTTTTGGCGACCAAGCCACCGACCTGCACGGTTGAAAATAATGAGTGGTCATTTTCAGAGTGGTTGAAAGTGGAATGTAAGAAAACATAAAGTTTGAAAGATGTTATGGCGATGCTAGGCGGCAATGCATCAAGTGGCTATACCTACCCCATGATACATAGTCACGGAGAGGGTTAAGAGCGTCATTTGAGGTTTCAACACACCGATAAACTTCATCGTACCGCAATCGACTTGGGGAATGCGCCGGAAGGGCTCTCAAAGGTACAGCAGGAGTCGAGATTCATTTTCCAGCTCAGGCAAATCGGTTTCTAGTTATCATGAATCATTTTTGTCCAGAAATGTTGTATTGAATCATCTTTTTGGGACCGGTTTATGACGCTTCCCTCACTTTTAACTTTTACGTTGAAGATGGTGGGATACTGTGCTCTTATCTCGTGTCGTTTCAACTTTCAACCTTCTCCGGGGGGGGGGGGGGGACCTGGCCACACCTGCCAGTTTTTTGCTTGTGTGTAGAAACTTGGTATACTTTATGATACATCAAGATTGCATCGTGTGTAAAATTTTTGGTCCCAGGTCACATAAGGTCAGGTCACAAGGTGAAGTTAAGTGACCATGCGTCTAAAAAACTTTGCGATTCAGTCATTTTTACAGTGAACATCCTAGAAGTTTGAAAACTCAGGCTACTGAGTATTGCGTAGGAATTCACTGGAATCAGTACCAATAATATCCTTTATCTCGGAATTTGGATATCGGTGACCTAAGGTCGGTTTAATTTTGTGACCTCTCCATAAGTCGATGGGAGAAAATTGCAGTGCTCTTCCTTTGGACGAAAACACTCAAACATCGTTACACAGGTGAGCACGCCTTGCTGAATCGAAAAATTTCACCTTTGACCCCTTTTATACCACTGAGAGGTCATCTCAGGTCATGAAACGCCTTAAATATTTGTTTTGACAAGAACTTGAGGTAGAAACATGCTAGAGAGCTGAATGCACCATTAATGCGTTCAGCTCAATATGAATCGAACGATATGGAGCGTGACCTTTTGTGACCTTCATCTGAAGTCGAAATTTTAAGTTGACCTTTTCCGGTTGACCTATAGCTCATTCGATGCGTCCCGGACAAGAGAAACGGGATGCCGGTAAAATCAGCGTAATATAAGCCTGGAATCAAAAGTACAAAAACCTTTTCCGCAAAAACGTCAAATTTTGATAGTTTCTGCCCTATGGAGGCTAAACCTTTGACCTCAGGTCAAATCTGAAAGCAATATGCAGAAAGACCTCTGAAAGAGTTATCGCATGCGCTCTTTTGCAGCGTGTAGCTCTATTGGATCCCGACTTATGCGTCGTTTTGTAAACAGTTGTCAAAATCGGGAACACAAATTCGTGATATTTTAACATTTGGTGGCCTCCAGGCTCCACTGACCTCAGCCATGACCTGATCGAAAAATGACCGAATTGATTCTGAAAGATCTTATAGCGAGCTATCCATTGTTTTTTTTTTCCCACGTCTTTCCAGCTTGCTTACCTAGTACCTACATTCTTTCTGAATAACCTGGAAAAATGCTACAGGTGCTCGACCGCAGAGCCACCTATCGGCCGAATTGTAACCTATTGTGTCATGCGGCACAGCATGCCACAGGCGCTCTACCGCAGAGCCATCTATCGGCTGAATAGTAACCTACTGTGACATGCGGCATAGCATGCTACAGGCGCTCTTCCGCAGAGCCACCTATCGGCCGAATTTTAACCTATTGTGTCATGCGGCACAGCATGCCACAGGCGCTCTACCGCAGAGCCATCTATCGGCTGAATAATAACCTACTGTGACATGCGGCACAGCATGCTACAGGCGCTCTACCGCAGAGCCACCTATTGGCCGAATTTTAACCTATTGTGTCATGCGGCACAGCATGCTACAGGCGCTCTACCGCAGAGCCATCTATCGGCTGAATAGTAACCTTGTGTGTCATGCGGCACAGCATGCTACAGGCGCTCTACCGTAAGGCCATCTGGATCTGGATCATCTGCATTGGCTGGCTGTAAGTACCTATACAGCCATCTGTATTTGGCTGAATTGAACCTTCTCTGCTATGCGGCACAACATGCTCTAGGAGCTCTGGCAGAAATATCCTTCAGGTGCATCGGAACTTTCTAGCATTGTTTTCCGTTATAAATCCACAACGCCAGTAAATATTCTGAAGAGCTCGGGTGTTCAGCACATGAGCACACGATATCATTTAGAAAAACAGTGAGGAACATACCACATTAGGCATTAGCGCATTTACATAGCATTTTTGACGAGGCTCTAAAAAAATAGCCCCCTCCCACCCCCCACCATGGCAATGTTGGCCGAAAGGCCCAAACGGGCGCGGGTTAACCCTCACCGGCTGAGGGAGGGAGGGAGGGAGGGGGAGGGGTGGCCTGCCGTGGGGAAGGCAGTGCCCCTCCCCAGACGGTATTTTCGCGACTCTGAAACGAGCCGTCCATAGACAGCTGAAAGCTGGTACACTAGCCTGTGATTCAAGCCGGATCCTATGGCACCAACTGCATTTTTCTCAGGTCAGTTCAGGTCAGGTCACTGACCTATGCGTCATATGTGAAACTCCGCATCGCCCTAAAATGTCACAGCTCCTCAAAGCCCTCAGTGTCAGGCAGTCTTACGAGGGGAGATGAAGCTTACAAGATTTAATAGCTTTACAAAGCCTCGCATCCTGTATACCTATACATACGCATCCGGTATATCGGATTTGTTCATGCCTACAGGTTACCCGAGTTTACATGACCTCACCGTTAACAGTAAATGGGGGGGGGGGGGTAGATATGGATATTGTTTTGGCGCCAGAAATGGCCTAAGACTATTAGGCTCATGTAGTCGTGATTTCATACACTCCACGCAAGACCTTATGCTTAGCTTTTCCATTCTTAACCTAGTGTGACGTCATGTATGACATCACTAAGGTCATCGGAGTTTCCCGTCAATGACTCCCGATCAAACTGAGCTAGCGAGTCTGGAAAGCCACCAATGGGTTTTGAAAGACTTGCTGAATCGAATGTTATGTAACATGGCGTCTGTTGACCAACTTTGTTACCCGAGTGACTTTGACCTGATCTGGTATATTCCAAGTTGACCTATTCCAACATGACCGCTGCGCCTGAACATGACAAACACGATGGTGTCTGTGGCCCTGCGGACATTTTTCGCGAAGTTACTCGCCAAAAAAAAAAACGAACCCATACCTTGGAGAACTTGACCTGACCTCAAAGGTCACCGACTGACCTGGGACATTAAAATTGGGTGCTTACCAGTCGCTTAGGCAGTCGGCTTGTAACGGCGAACACGCTCGTTTTTTTTTCCCGAGAGCTTCGTAAGAAGCGAAACGGGAGGGGTTCAACCCTTCCCCCTTCGGCCAGGGCATGTGTAGAAAACCGATAGGTTTGTAAGTGAGTACAGCGAGGGCTAATATTTCCTCTACTATCTCAAAACTTTGTTTAGATATCAGAAGCATTACAGTTATTGTAATAGACATCAAATGTATCATGCCTATAATTACAGTTAATTGGGCTGTACTTACAAATACGAGGCTAAAGGCTGAAGGCTCGTATAAAGGCAATAGTAACACCAGTGACCTGGAACCACAAAAATGAATTATTTTGACTGGGTATGCTGCTCTTTGGTATATCCTTGTAAGTAGGTAGGTATCGGGTAAGTAGGAACATCGGCGGCTGACCCAGGCCGGATGATAACATGTTGGCTTTCTGTTTTGGGAAGGTTACAGCAGTTCGGACACTCGTTGTCCTTATTGCACCGTACAGCGGGTGGCGACGCCATCTCGATGACGGCATTTGACATGAGACGTGAATATGAATGAGTTGTCTGGAAAACGGGTCAACATTTCGTCAACACTTGGCGGTAGTGCTCTGTCTGCTGTTGCTGAAATCATCTTCCGTTGTGATCCACGATCTAAATTCAGCGGGTACTCCGGGGTCGTGCCCCGTTTTTGAAGCCAGACAGGAGCATTAAATCTACATACTTACCAGACCGTATGCTGACATCCAAATTTCAGTATCCTTTTATTTATCTCGAGGTTACTGAAATTCCATAGGTTTCCGTGACTCTTTGGGTATTTCTGTGTTTCAAATGTATCAAATTTGAAACATGACAGTTCCTCCACAATACGTTTCATATGCATCCCCATACCGGGTGTCCCTCCCCCAAGCAAAAATCGTTTCCCAAATTATGTAGAAGCCCGAATTCTAATGAAAATTAAGAGCCGAAACTTGCCACGTGCCAGGTTTGTGTCACTTCTTTGTGCATCGGTATGCCAAATCATAAAACTACGAGTATACCATCATTTTCATGCTAGCACTCTTATGTTGAATAAAGTGGCACGTTTTCGCTTTTAAATGTTTTTTATGTCGCTTCATTGATGTCGTAGGTCGGTAAACGGATGACCTGGGAGTAACGTCTTATCTCGCTGACCCCTGTCCTTTTCTGTGTCTTCTTAGGGCGGCGAGCGAGTCGTCTGGGAATACCGCTGTGTCTCTCTGACCGTCTCCCGTCTCTCTGTGTGTTCTCAGGGCGGCGAGCGAGTCGTCTGGGAGTACCACCACGTCTCTCTGACCGTCTCCTCCCTCTGTTTTTAGGGCGGCGAGCGGGTCGTCTGGGAGTACCACCACGTCTCGCTGAACCGCGTGCCCGGCTATGGGTTCGGTATCGCCGTCAGCGGCGGCCGCGACAACCCGCACTTCACCACCGGCGACCCCAGCATCGCCATCTCTGACGTGCTCAAAGCCGGGCCAGCCGAAGGAAAACTGCAGTAAGCAGCTCAACAGCTCGATCTGTTCCACATGACCTGACACGACGGCACGATCTGACTTGACGTGACCTAAGCTAAGCTTACCTAACTTGGCTCGATTCGACCCAACCCGACCCACCCAACACGACCGACACAACCATCACGACCTGACGTCCTTACACGGCCTGACCAAAAGCGAACCGATCAACTGAGCCTGTCCCGTAGCTCTGCTGGCAGAGCGTTGGACTCCCGGTGAAGGTTCGGGTCGCTCCGGCGCTCGATATTTGATTGAGACTCCTGATGGGGATGGTCTGCAGTTGGTAAGAGGCGCCAGGGTATATAGGGTGGGATGTGAGCAGCCACAGTACGGGCTCAGCCCCGGTGACTCACTAGGGTGCCTGCCCAGACCATTGTCTCCCCCCTCGTATATCCTATCATCCTCCCGGCTCTGAAATGGTCTCATGACTCATTGGACCGAAAGGGCCTAACCCAACAAAACAAAACAGCCGCAGCCAGACGGAGTCAGTAGGATGGGACAGGTCGTGTCCGGCTTTGATGGACATTTTTAACTTTGACATCTTATAATTCTCCTGTCACCCGGGATTGCGCAATCGGACGGACGGGAGTTGGGGTCTACGCAACAAGCTCTGCTTAGCGTGGGCTCCGTCTCTGTCAATCCGCCCATTCAAACATTCGAGCTAAATTTAAAAAAAAAATCATATCAGGCTCAGCCAGACATGAGCCTTTCACATCAGACCAGACCAGACCATATCAGTCCAGACCAGACCAGGTCAGATGGATTCGACCCGACCCAGTCATACCCTGCCCCCTTGACCTGCCCTGACCTGACCTGACCCACCTGACCTGACCCATCCGACCAGAATCAACTTACCCGACTTAAACGGATCCTGCCTTATTCAACCCGATTGACCTGATCAACCCGATTGTGACCTGGTTGTAAACTTATCTTACTTGACCCAACCAGACCAAACCAAACCAGACCAGACCAGACAAAACCAGACCAGACCAGACCAGACTAGACCAGACCAGACCAAACCAAACCACAAATCACACCAGATTCGACGCTATATTCACGGGAGTGGCTCTGAGCGGATGTCCTTTTTGCCCGGTGTGGTCATTCCTATTTTAGTGCAACTGGGCGCATTGCTCACTGCTCACCCTTTTACATCACCCGTCAATTAATGAGCCGTTTGATGATTGATGAGTAAACACCTTCCAGCACTAGTTGTTCAGCTTGGCCAAAGATAATGCGAGATGCTTCAATTTGCTGTTTTGTTCTCAGCTTCTACTCGTAATGACTTAGTTGAAAGAAATACTATCGGTTGGAGCTATGAACAAAGCTGCAACTGGATGCCTCGTAACAATGTCTTTTTTGTAGTATCCATCGATGTATTAATAGGAAATAGCTTAGAAAGAAATAGAATGCGCATCTGATTGGCTTTCGTCAATAACGCAACAAGGATGCCCACGCGTCGACGTTTTAGCACGTCTCACTGAAGTCTCCATGAAATATGGTTATGCTACTTACGTTTTACGTTTGCCTTTTACTTCTTCTACTTAAGTCCTTAATATTTCGCAATTTAATTTGTTGGTCGACGAGGAGCGGCCCAAGGGCACCAGTGGTTCCTACTTACCCACTTTTAATGATGATCCACAATGCATATCTCCCTACTAAGATGAATGTTCCGCGTGCCGCCAGCGTCAACGACCGTGTGCTGAGCGCCAACGGTCTGTCGCTGGAGAACGTCGACTACGCCACAGCCGTGCAGGTGCTCAAGGACTCGGGTGCCATGGTACAGCTGCACGTGAAGCGCAGGGTGGTGCTGCCCGCCTCGCTGGAGCCGCAGATCCTCCGCATGACGCTGACCAAGGGCAGCCGCAAGGAGGGTACGTACGTACACCGCCGTCAGGCCACCGTCCTTCGGACGGAGAGGGCCAGTCTGCGTCTCCTGTTTTAATGTTAATCTCAACTGAAGTGAGTTGGCTGTTCCATATTTACTGAGGCGAATAACAAGTGGTATGAAAGCGTGGCTAGCACACCCTTCGGAGTTTTTTTACCACTGCAGTTTATGTTGTCATATTTGACTTCGTTGACTGCTTGAATGATTACGCTGGTAAATTTAAAACTGCTTTGTAATGAAATGTCATTAGCAACATCTAAAGCGAATTTCGACCCCTCCCAGTGTTCCGGTGATAACTTAATTCAAAGAAACAAGAGTAGGTATTATTTGGTTGTTTGTCTGATTCTCACTTGCATCTACGAAAGTAACAAGTATGAATTAGTATTCTACATTAAATTTTATCTCTTAAATGCAATTAATTAGCAGAAAATGTCACTTGTACGAAATACGAATTAGGGATAAATGTTGTTATTCCATGTAAAATCCTTAAACTGCAGCTTTTTGTGTGTAGAGCTGTGACGGCTGCTTGCAACGGGCGGCATTAGATCCCATCCATAGACCTCTGTACGGTGTACAGAGGTCTATGTCCCATCATATTTTAACTATTTCGACATAACATACAATCCAATGTTGAACCCATGCACTTGGTGAAGTTCTAACCAAGATTACGATTTAATACGTCTAATCCTACCTTTCCGTCTTCGACGCCCTCGCTCGGTGATCTATTCCTGTCAGACGCCGCTGTCCCGACTGACCATCACGCTCGGATATGTTTCCTGGATTTGCGGCATGCGGTGGGCAGTTTTCCTGTCGGACGTGCCAGTCTGTTTCTCTTGTATCGCAGCTGGACGGATTAACATTCCGCGCCGGCCCTGTAAACATTCCTGCAGGCGATACAGCGCCTGATGAGCGCCCTGCCGCCGCCGAGAGATCACGGTAGCCGCTCCGTAACTGTAGTGAAAGCCGAGTGGTCTGTAGCAGCGAGAGTCAAGTGGCTTGGAGTGGTGAGAGTTGAATGCTGGCCAGGCAGTCGATCTCGGACCAGCTACTAAGCTACCAGCGGGCCAATACTAAATAGAGAAGTCAGTAAATGTCAAGTTATAAATCGGTGGTGAAAGGTTTGTAGCAGTGAACTTGAAAAACTGTAGGCGTTGCAGTGTCACCTTTTAGGAAGTAAATGTAGTATTTTGTAGCTCCGACGTCTACGAAGGTTTACGGTGATGTATGGCTGAACGTTAGGACTGCGATAGCGATCGCAGTTACATCAGACCTCGCATTGTCTTGCCATTACCAATACCGTCTCCGTCCCCTCGAGCTGTTCCAAGCCAGGGTATATTGAATGACTCCAACCGGTCGCGGCCATACGAGTCTCGCGGCAGCGTGCCACCGACGCTGGCCGGCGGCGGCACGGTCCATCTGGGCCGGGGTCGGCCGCCACGCCGGTGACCCTGGCCCGCTGCGAGTGCCGCCGGAACAGGGACCGGTTCCACCCGGGCCGGCCCGGCCGACCCAGAGGCACCGCGCGCGCCCGGCATGAGCTCACAGAGTAGTGCGCTGCGTACCGCCCCCCGACCGGGCCGCGAGCCTCCTTTCTACGCCGTAGATTCAGAGGCATGCATGTCTGCCCCCCCCCCCTCTGCATGTGGTGGCTCTCGGCAGAGCCAGCCAGCGCGACGGCCGACGGCCCCGTCCGCGACTCGCTCGGACGGTGATAAAACTGATGGTGTGAACGGTAGGGCTGGGATGGTGTGAATAGGGGCTTGTGGCGAGGATAGCGGAGCTCGCGTCTGGAATACCGACCGTCTGACCGGACGGGGTGACTCGTTTTTAGCAAATTTATTTATTTGCAGTTATGAGCATGCAGAAGCTTGATGATTTTTTTTTTATAAATTCGTCTTTCTCCTCGGTTCATTGCCGGTTTTTATTATTTCTAACATCAATTTACCGATGTCGATGAAGCTGCTTTGCGAAAAAAAGTCATAAATTCCGTACTTTTGCGTGGACTATTTGTTATTTTTCACCGTCCATGTGCCTACCTTTGCAAAATGACTCGTCTGATGCTGAAAATGAATGAATCCCGTCCGTGAGGGTACATCGGCTTATCCAGGTTAAATTTATTCTAAGAAAATTGCCCTTCTATATGTACAGGCCGGGCCGGAGCATTTTAATCCCCTGGCCTACTTAAGTGCTTCCTCTCCAACCAGCACGTAAGCCCGAGCACTCGACCTTGTATGTGAGCAGCCGATGAGTTCCCGATACACAATGTGCTGCCGACGTAAAAGGCTTTACCGAACCTCTGAAGCGCATTCCTATCTCAACATCGGCTAATTACCTAAGGTTAATGCCAGGACTAGTACGATTAGCTGTCGGCCCAGCTCAGCTCGAGGGACCATTTCTAAAAAAGGACACGACAGGTCTCACCACATTGACACATGCGATTGTGTTTTATATGCGCGCAGATTTCGGTTTCCTGCTCGGGTGGCAGCCGTTCGTCAAGGAGATTGTCCGCCGGCCGTCGATCGTCGAGCGCGACGTCACGCTGCACGAGGGAGACGTGCTGGTGCGCATCAACGACCAGCCCACGGACAGCATGACGCCCAAGGAGGTCAAGAAGCTGGTGGATGCGGCCCGCGAGCGGCTCAGCCTGACGGTGCGCCGTGAGCCGAGCGCGGCCGGACACCACAGCAAGGGTGGGTGACGCCGTAGCCAGTGGCCGTACTCGGGATCCTAAGCAATTATGCATTATGACCGTCTTGCTAAGCAAAATGTGTGTGTTTTCCTATGCTCTCTGAGTTAGCAAGAGGACCTGTCACCGAGCTGGATGCGGTGAATGGTGCCTAACGTCACAGGACAGATTTCTACCAAACCTTGCTGATATGGCTACTGAGTATTGGCAGCCAGTAGCGAAATTATATGTTTCAATAATCGAGATGCTTGGTTTAGTGTATCGTCTGGAATCGAACCTAGTGTTTTGTGGTATTTGAACAACCGTTTGTGCTGCTCCCTCTTGAAAGTTTTTTTTTTCTGACGATGTGTTCCTGTCGCTCACAGAGAGCTCACATGCGCCAAACCGCCCCAGCTACGGTGCCAGTCCGAACCTATACGTCCAGCCGCCGACCCGTAACGAGCGAGACCACCGACCGGCGGGCCGGCACGGTGCCGACAAAAACAATCTGCTCAGGTGAGACGAGGTGACAAGTGGTGATGGGAGCTAGATGGCAGCGGGGTAGGAAAGAGTTAAGACACGTGCACGAGCTGCGCTGACACAGGGGTCCGAGAGACACGTGGTTAGGTGAATTAACACCGGGATACACCTCAGGAGCTGGCATCGGGATCCGAGAGATATTTGGTAAGGTGAGGTCAGAGCTGACATTAGGCTTGCTTAGGTGAGCCGTCATTGGGAGACGTGTAGTCAAGTGACAAAGAGAGACATCTGATCAGGTGAACCATTACTGGGAAATGTTTGGTGAGATGACACTCAGTTTGGTCACCGTGTTAAGGTGGCGGCTGTGCCCGTTGCGTTCAGAGTGGCGCCAGTCGCGGTGTCGAACGCCGGTGCTTGTGGTGCCTGTTATTGTGATGGTACCTGGACACCAGTGACCAGACCGGTGTGTTGTTCGTTTGCAGGCAGAACGGTCGCTCACGGGGTCCTCTGATGGACATATCACTGAGCCAACTGGACCAGCCGGCTACTCCGCTACTGCACGGCCACCCGGGTCAGGGCGATCCGCCTCCACCGCGACCGCCGCCACCGAGGGACTCAGGTACAGTGACACACACACGGATCGGGGGTTCAGGTACGGTCACAGGCACATACACGCACAAACTCAGATCGCAGGCCCGTCTTTGACATGCTAAGACACGGTATTAACTCTGAAAACTGCATCAAAAGAAAAGTGGAATGTAACAGCCGAGAAGTTGCAGATAAAAGTGTTTGGTTGGGAGGTGTGCCTGATGGACTAACGCCGTTTTTGTTTGCCATTTTGCAGTGGATGGTCTGATGACCAACGGTCTGGGCGGTCCTCAGCGGTCACCGGGACCCGGCGACACCTGGCACGGTACGCAATGTTGCTGTTTAGATAAAAAGGAAACGCAACTTCCTTAATGTCATCGGGTGTTCTCGAATGTTGCATTTTACTCTCTGCACATTCAACATAGTTTGATGTTAAATTACAACGAAACTAACTAATCGAAACACAAGTTTATTATAATACTTTTCCAATGAAAAGTGATTATAATATACGCGCTCTGCAAGATGATGAAACTGACTATATTTTTTATGCAGATATGTATGGCTCCCGGCGACAGTCCAGCTACGACCAGCAGTCGCCCAAATCCAAGGGACCAGAGTAAGTGATTCTCACTGAGCTAATTACGGAGCGAGCGAAGCGAGCGTAGTCTTTCCTTAGATTAACGGAAATTTCTGAGTATGAGCGGCCGGCCGGCCGTGGTCACGCTTTTGCGAGGCTTATATCTCAGCAACCACTTGACCGATTTACACGCGGTAATTTTTGTAGGGTAGCTTCATTCCTTCTACCAAGTATTGGACTATTCCCGATGCATGTGGGTGACCCCTTATGCACGTGCCACGTGCAAAACGAAGAGGCGTCAATTTTGTAATTGTTGCAATATCTCGGTAACTACTTGGCCGATTGCGCTGAAAGTTGGCATGGAGGTAGGCACCCACTAGGCACTGCATATACATGTGCCAGAGTTGGGGTGCTGCTGCACGTGCGCACGTGCAGGGGTCGTTTCCAGATCTCGGGAACGGCTGGACCGATTGCGCTCAAATTTGGTACACGGTTAGGGACCGGTTAGTAGGGTGCCGTGCACAAGTCAGTTGGGACCCATCTTGCACGTGCGCACGTGCAGGGTGCCGCTTCCAGATCTCGAGAACGGCTGGGCCGATTGTGCCCAAATTTGGCACATCGCTAGAGACCAGTTAGTAGGGTGCCGTGCACAAGTCACTTGGAGGTACCCCCTCGCAATTTCGCACGTGCAAGGCCCACCCTCTCGCTCGCTCCGTTAGTCGCCCCAAAAGGCGTTATACTGGTATTTTTAGGATCTCGAATCCTCTTCTCGAACCTAAGCCAGGACTGAGCTGCAGACTTAGCGAGAGCCTGTCAGGGCTTCGTTCGTAGCTTTAAACCGTCTGCTGCATTTTTAACGATTTGATATATGCGAGTATGTACTCGTTTGCATGTTTGCTCATCTCCTTCTTTCGATTCTATTTATGTGATATAGTGGATCCCAAGTGCGTTTCATTTTGTAGCTTGACTTGACTGGCAGTCGATTCGATGTGTGCTGGATATGTGCAGGGCTGGGTAACACTGCTGCTGTGTACTGACCATACCTTTCTTTTTCTCGCCAGGCCCGACCCTCGGTTCATCAGTTTCCAGAAGGAGGGCTCGGTCGGTATCCGACTGACGGGCGGCAACAAGACGGGCATCTACGTCATAGCGGTGCAGGCCGACTCGCCGGCCGCCGTCCAGGGCCTCCAGCCCGGCGACAAAATACTGAAGGTGGGTTGGTGAACGAGCACAGCTACTTCATCTGGGGCCAACGGAGTTTGGCAGTCTGGTCGCCATTTATCTCTGAGTACTTTGGTAATATTATTAGGCTGCCAATTAGGTGCACATGCCACTGATTATAGGTCGATTTGAGCCAATATAAGCATTTCAGGGATGTGAAAAAGTCTCACTCCAATGTCAAAAAGTTCTGAAAATGAAACGACTATCCTTATTTTAGCATTGCCATTATTGTTAATATGGAAGCTTTTAGACGGCCCCGAGTAGCGTATGTGTGTTGCCTGACTGTGTCGTCGTGTGTGTGGCGTCTGGTTCATACTCAATCGGTATATCCGCCCCCTCAGGTGAACGGTATGGAGATGAAGTGCGTCACCCGCGAGGAGGCCGTGCTGTACCTGCTCAGTCTACAGGACCAGATCGACCTGATCGTCCAGTACAAAAAGGCCGAGTTCGACCAGCTAGTGGCCGCCCAACAGGGAGACTCGTTCTACATTAGGTAACCGGCGACATGAACTAAATACCTACCTAATATCCGGGAACGGCGAAATAGCTATAACGAAACACGGCGAACGTGCAATGCCAACCGGTATCGCGCCACCTGACGGAAATAAAATAGCATCTGATGTTATACAATGTAATGAACACTGCATGTATCGCCCCATTGCTTTACATATCCCTCCATGTCAGTTCAATGCTGCTTAACTATGTTGTACAATGCATTTATGGCTAACTTACTATTCTTATTTACAGAACACATTTCAATTATGAGCAGGCGGACAAGAATGAGCTGAGCTTCCGTAAGGGTGATATATTTCATGTTGTGGATACTCTGAATAACGGCGTGGTCGGCGGCTGGCAGGTGAACAGAATCGGTGAGTGACATCGCCGTGGCCTTCTGATGATGTCATGATGGTGACGACCGCTGCCAGTTGCTTGTGTTGTCAGGGAGCCCGTCGTGCGGTAGGCAACGGGTAGTGCCGCGCGAGTTTTCTTAGCGGGACCAATATACCTACGTCCTACCCTGCGCTCCTCCGTATATTTCTTCTGTGAGTAGCATCTAAGAAAGTACGACTTATATGAGACATTCTAACATCAGGCGTCAGTGATCCGCGTGACCGTTTTGCTCGCTGTCTAGATGCATCCTTACCAAGCTGAGGTTTCTGGTGCACCCTTAGGTCGAAACAACGAGGCCACGCAGAAGGGCGTGATCCCGAACAAGGCGCGTGCAGAGGAGCTGGCCACGGCCCAGTTCAACGCCGCCAAGAAGGAGCACACGTTCAGTGAGACGCGCAGCCGGCTGTTCAGCCGAAAGCGGCGCCAGCGGCGCTCCAAGTCTCTCGGCAAGGATCACTGGGAGGACCTCGTGTTTGACGACTCCGTCTCCAAGTTTCCCGCCTATGAGCGCGTCGTGCTCCGCCAGGCCGGCTTCGTGCGGCCGGTGGTGCTGTTCGGAGCGGTGGCTGACCTGGCTCGACAGCAGCTACTCAGAGACCTGCCCGATCGACTGGCCGCGCCGCGTGAGTGCCCGTCCCGCCGCCCAGGGAGAGGGCTGGGGTGGGAGGCAAGGCTGGCGTGTCGCAAGGTGCGCCCGAAATGTAGGCATACGGTCGTTTTCGGGGCATCATGTACTGTACTAACATCATATTGCTTGTGTGCATGGTTGCATGTCCGCGTATTACTTTGTCCGAGTTGTGTGCGCTAGTATCTGAGTGACGTGTCTGTGGATGTGTCGACATCCCGCCCTGTCGCGCCGCCAGTGACTGACCCAGCCACCCGTTTGCTCCAGAGCTGGACCCGGGCGCCGAGTCCAAGGCCAAGAGCTCGGGCATCATCCGTCTGAGCGCTATCCGCGGCCTGGTGGAACGCGGCCGGCACGCTCTACTGGATGTGACGCCCAACGCTGTGGACCGACTCAACTACGCCCAGCTGTATCCGATCGTGGTGTTCCTACGAGCCGAGAGCAAGCACGTCATCAAAGAAGTGCGCGCCGCCGCCCGCGCCACAGACAAGTGAGAAGCCTTCTCTGCTTCCCCCGGCCCCTGGGCACCGCTATACATATTTGATGCGACGACGAGGCTTGTCGTAGCTAGACTTCAACATTCTTCAGTTACTCTTAAGGTCACTCTCACTCCCCACGGCTATTGTACCTATGAATTTTCCGATGTTGAAGTGTCATAATCAACCCTCCCGTGCGATGTCCTCGGCAGGCCCCAGCACAAGTCGAGTAAGAAGATCTACGAGCAGTGTGTGAAGCTGGAGAAGCTGTGGTCGCACCTGTTCACGGCCACCATTACTCTGACGGACGCCGACTCGTGGTACCGCAAGGTCAAGGACCTCATCGAGAAGCAGCAGAGCGCGCCCATCTGGATGTCCGAGACGAAGGTGAGAGGCCGAAGCAGCAGACTTTGGCTCAGTAGTCGCTCCATGTTAAAGGCTTAGGTGACGTAGAAGATTTGAAGGCATACACACTCCATTTACACTTCTTCACTCTACCGTTTGATGCGCCTTTCGCCAAAGCCCAACGACTATCAACGCGCTGTCAACTAGTTTCCCGGGCCGAGCGGTGTAGCACTAGCCCGTTTGTCTTTAGCTTACTCAGGCTCCTGTCCGTTTGTTGGTGGAAGGTTTCTTCATTTGACAAGTTCAGCAGGCTACTCGGCTCCGCCGCCCTAACGAGCTGGCATGTCTGGTGGCGGTATCTGTGCGTCTGTAAGCTCTCTCTGGTGCCGCCGAGCGCTGACAGCCGTGCCACCGTGCCGTGTGTTCACAGCCGATCGAACTGTGCTCGGACATCTTCCTGCTGCCCTGCTCGGGGGACCCGTTCCTACAGGGCGCGCCAGCTCCTTCCCATTCCCACCAGCCGGCCCCGTCCCACCCCCATCAGCCGCCGCCGTCCCACCCCCAACAGTCGTCCTCCCACCCCCACCAGTCGGAGAGCGTCCCCGCCGGTCCTGAACGTCCCCCGGCACTGGGTGACTCTGCCCCGCCGGTTCCTCCGCCGCCGGCGCACTATGACTCGGTGCTAGAGGAGCTGGACGCCAGCCTCCGACCGCTACCCGTGTACCGCGCCCAGCCGCTGCCGCCCCCGCCCCCGCCTCCTCCCCCACCGCCGCCCCCGCCCCCGCCTGCTGTCTCGCACGTGCCGCATGACCTGCCTCCGCGACTGCACGACCGCACGTTCGACTCTGAATCAGTGTATATTTAGTGGTTAACTCTGTCCGTGTGCACAGCACGCTCAGTATTTAGCGCCAAGTCAGTGTATAACTAGTCATTAGTGCCCGACCATGGTGATTTATTGGTTGGGCCAATGACCAGTGGGCATCCTTGCACAATTGCCTTGGCGTTTTGTTGGATTGCAGTGCCAGTTTCGTTTAAGGTTTGGGTGCCGTTGGTATGGCGAGGCTCTTGTAATTGTCATTACAATTAGCTTTTGTTAAGTCGTTATTTGAACCTACTTATAAATTTCCATCTGCTTTCTTTGGCTCTTGCTTTTTTAAATGTAAGTGCATATATTCGTGCGCATGTGAGATTTGCTTTCTCATTCAACGCTTTGCTCAGGACAATATTAACATGGAGTTATTTGGCACTTATTTACGATGTATGGGTCACGAACTGTGCCCTTATTATCTGTAAATGAAACTCTTGCTTCATGATTTGCTTTATGCTTTGCTTTTTTGCTTTATTGCTTTACGTATGTCAAAATTCAACGTTTAGTAAGCCAGTGAACGTTATTTGGTACGCATACGTAAGATATACATTCCAATAAGTGTCTGCGTTTGGATGTTATGACGCTTGTACGTTTCTCACTGCTGTCGCGAGTGTCCCGCTCAGGTACCACGCTGTGTGCGCGTCACCTGCACGCTCAGCCGTCAACCGGCCTGTGTATACTGTGTGACGTGACCTCTGCACCGGGGCGGCGCCGGTGGCCGCACCCCGCCCTGCTGACCCCCACCCCGCCGTCCCTCCGCCCCGCCCCGCCCCGCAGCCCGGGGAGGCCTTCTCGGACGACTTCCTGTTCCCGATGACGTCTCGTCTGTCGTACGCCTCGTCTCCGGAGTCTGAGCCGGAGGGCGGTGACCCGGTGCGTCGGGAGACGGGCTCCGACCCGCACCTGCTGCGCAGCTCGTCCGACCCGAGCCTGGCGGCCGACGACCTGCCGCCGCCGCTGGCAGCGCTGGGCGGGCCGCCGCCCTACACTCCACATCAGGTCAGTGGTAGTGACTAGTGTGTTACACCCTAAACCAGTACACTCCGCACCACACCTTACACCAGTGTTACTGCCCTACCCCCTGCACCAGGTCAGTGGTAGTGTGTTACACCCTAAACCAGTACACTCCGCACCAGGTCAGTGTGAGCGCCCTACACAATACACTACACCTTACACCAGTGTTACTGCCCTACCCCCTGCACCAGGTCAGTGGTAGTGTGTTACACCCTAAACCAGTACACTCCGCACCAGGTCAGTGTGAGCGCCCTACACAATACACTACACCTTACACCAGTGTTACTGCCCTACCCCCTGCACCAGGTCAGTGGTAGTGTGTTACACCCTAAACCAGTACACTCCGCACCAGGTCAGTGTGAGCGCCCTACACAATACACTACACCTTACACCAGTGTTACTGCCCTAACCCCTGCACCAGGTCAGTGGTAGTACCCTACATCCGACAACAGTGTTCAGTGTCTGCCCTACACCTCACACTAGGTCAGTGGTAGTGCCCTACACCGCGCACCAGGTCAGTCAGTGTCACTGTTCTACTTGAGGTTAGTGAAGAGTTTCAGTACCAGGGTGGCGACGTTATGACTCTAGTGACCTCGCGTACTTATGTGTTACCGGTACAATGCTGGTTGTCTCACTACCACAATATGCTGTGATGTGGCCTGGCTTCTCAATGCGATGGTGTCTGACCTCCCCCGTCCCCGCCGTTGACAGGAGCCGCCCCGCGCGCCCGGTCACCGCCACTCTCACGGCGGGGACAGTCGGTACGGCTTCTCAGCGGGCCGCTACGTGTCGGAGCGGCCCGGCGGCGGCGACGGCCCTTCTCCGGGCATACCGCGCCGCCTGCCGGCCGCCAGTCCCGGCTCCGGGCGACACTCGCCCTACCAGACGCTCCCACACGAGTTCCGAGCCGGCGGACAGCCATCACCGGCGCGCGGCGTCGACCGAGAGCCTCCCTCGGCGCAGCACACCCCGTCCCGGCGGCACGGCTCGGGACAGCGCGGCTCGCTGCCGGAACAGGCGGCCGGCCGCGCGCCGCCGGCCGACGGTCTGGCGCACCAGTCGCACCAGCGCACCTCGCTCCAGGAGCACCAGGTAGCGCGCGCCCTGCTGCCCGACTCGCCGCCCAAGGTGGACCGCAGCAGCAAACCCTCGGCTGGTGTGGTCGGCACCCGCAGCTACGGCCGCGCCTCTGGCGGCCAGATGAGGAACTACCTTCAGCGGGACGATGGGAACTACATGAACTCCGGAAAGAACTACACGTTGGATAGGTTAAAATCCGTAAGTATTTCAATTTTCCACACATTGTTTCTTCCTTAAAATGTGTCAACATCTATCTTCATGTAGTCATGGACTTGTCACTCTTGTAATAGGCATTGGTTTGTCAACTGGCCTGGCTCCCAGATCCGTTACGGGCTCACCAGCTGACCCAACTCTCTCCGGCTGCCCCCAGGCGAATTACGACAGCGGCTCGCCCTACGACTCGTACCAGCGGTTCGCCAACATGCACGACGACCTGAAGGCGTCGCGCTCGGCGGGCGCGGGCGACCACGGCTCCCCGGGCGGCTATGGGGGCAGACCGTCCGACCCGTACCGGCTGGCGCCGCGCGGACATACACAGCCGTCCTACTCGGCCGAGCGCGAGCTGCCGCACACTGGCCACGGGTGAGTCGCACCGCCTCTCATTCTCACCTCCGCAAAGATGCAATCGTCGAGGTCGAACCGCTGACATTAGTATATGACCTATACATGACCTATATTGATGTTGACGTCTTATGCAAGACGTTTACAAAGTCGTTATTTTACAGTGTTGTCAGAGATTTATAAGGACGATTTTGCTAAGATGTTCATATAGGTGTTCACTAAAATGTTCATCCATGCGGTCATTCATCCATTCATTCATTCATTCATTCATTCATTCATTCATGCATTCATTCATTCGTTAATTCATTCATTCATTCATTCATTCATTTATTCATCCATTCATTCATTCATTCATTTTTGCAACATTCTTTCGCAACCCTGTCTAATAAGGAGGGAGCTAACGGCAATGACCGCATTGCCACCGCTGCGTCTGACCTGCCCGTCTCTCTCCAGCGGCCGTGGCGACTACAGGCCGATGCCGCCTCCCAAGAGCGGCTCCAACTACAAGCCGATCCCGCCGCCGAAGCCGAAGGGCGGCCGGGGCCCGCCGCCATCCGCCGGCGACCCGTACTGGCGCGGCGGGCCCGAGTCGGCGCCACGGCCGCCGGCCGACTCGCGCGCTGCCAGCCGCGAGGACTTCAGCTACACTAACGGCGAGGAGCCGGGCGGCGGCTTCGACTCTGGGCACGGCTCCAGTCTGGACCGTAACTACGACCCGGCCGGGCGCACGTACATCAACATGAAGCCGGCCAGCGGCGGCGCCGGCTACTACCTGAACGTGCCGGGCGCGCCGCGCGAGCCGCCGCCCACCGCCGGCCTCGACCTCTGCAACCGGGACCAGCGCGGCAGCGCGTTCGAGCTCTACCGGAAACCGGACAACGCGCGCTACCTGAGCTCGGACGGCGCCCGGTAGGCGGGAGGGCGTCTGGGCGGGGATCGAGGATAGGTCCTGCGAGGGACCGGGGCTACAGGACCGTGCTGGGCACCGGGTGGACGGAGCCGGGCTCACGGGATGGTGACAGAGCACCAACACCACAGGAGGGTGTTCTGCAGCGGCAGAGCGGCAGCTGGGGGAGCCAGCCGTCCGGTCGGTGACGTTTGCCTTGTGTTGTGCGTAAAATGTTATCGTCAGTGCCTTTGATCATGTGTATTTTGTCACAAATCAAATGGTTTACTATACTATAGTTGCTGTTCATTGCAGTCATTAGCTAGATATCATCATCGTCATGGTGCCTTTCAAATGAGCAAATATCGTTTTATTATTGGAACTATTAATGCGCGTTTCAATGTTGGAATAAACCATTGCCATGACTTGCCGCCTATTCCTTGTCGAGCAGCACAGCCTGCCAGGTGGTGGTGAAACGGGGGTCTTCACGTCCCTCCCATGGACTGGACGCTGCAAGCAGTAAGTTGCCATCTAGCTGTGTGAAGTTCCTAGGTTTTCCATTAGCCAGGCTGTCATTCGGTGTGGTTCTCGGCTATACCTACGCACGTCAGCGGTGGTGGATAGCGCCTAAGGCCCAGCAGCAGTGACTATCGCAACTGCACTATGCAGCTACTACTCGCTACTCATGTCTTTAGAGACGAGTTGATGCGATGTGTAGGAATAGCTTCACGGTCGGAACATGTGTAGGAATAGCTTCACGGTCGGAACATACCTCTGTCGCGGCTTTGTTTCATCTTTATTACTTAAAACAACCGAGTTTACTTACACTATGGTACAAATCGCGCTGGCCACTGCACACTACTAGTAACGCCACACACAGCAGAAGCCCGTGCAACACGTCCTGCTCTCCGAGTCTCCTCCGTTAACAACGCACGCACTCGCCCTTCCCCATTTGTCCACACCGAGTACCGACAGCCGAGTTCGCGGCGAGCGCACCGCCTCGCACTCAGGGAAAACGACCGGCGCCGGGGACCGCGAGGGATGACTTCATCCGCACACACCCCGACACACAGACATACACACACGCACACACGGCGCAGCACCAGCAGCGGAAGATGGCCGCGCCTCGGCGGCGCCCGTCGCACCGCGTCGGCGCCGTCGGCCCGCCGTTATCGACTATGGATCGAACCTTGTTTGAGCAATGCTGGTAGGGCGCGGCCCATCCTCACCGGCCGACGCCGTTTCTCTGCGGCAGCCGCTGAGCGCCGCACGCAGATGGCACCTCTGTCCCCACTGCCATCCCCTAACGCCTGCAGTGACTACCACAGGACAGTGAGAGCGACACGGGCCGCAACAATGACAGATTTCAGTACGTCCTCCTTTCATGATAGCTTATTGCTGGTGAAGATATCATCGGTGACAGCATGTTTTTCCTTTAGGCCCGAAATTGTTCAGTTCGATTCCATCTAATCTAACCTATTCCTTGCAGTGATAGCGTCGGGAAGAGGATGGTTTTGCCCGAGTTGCAATTCTTGCAATTCTGCGCCAGCGTATCACAGCAGCTCGGGGCGCAGCTGACAGCAGCTCGGAAACAGCTGCCAGCAGCCCGGAGAACAGCTGCCAGCAGCCCGGGAAACAGCTGACAGGAGTGTGTGGAACGGATGACCGGAGTGGGAAAGTGAGGCGCAGCTGATGGGAGTGTGGGGGCAGCTGACGGAAATGTGGAAGGATCGGAGTGTGGGGAGTGAGAAGGATTGAGAGCGACCGGAAAGTGGGAAAGCAGCTGGTGGGATTGGAGAGCAGCTGCCAGGGGTGTGGGGAGCAGCTGACGGGAGTGTGGGGAGTTGGTAGTGTGGGAGCAGCTGATAGGAGTGTGGGGAGCAGTTGGCTGGAGTGTGGGGACCAGCTGACGCGAGTGTGGAGGGATGGGAGTGTGGGAGTGGGAGCTGGCGGGAGAGAGGGAGTATGTGGGGAGCAACTGACTGGAGTGTGAGTGTGAGGAGCTGCTGACGGGAGTGAGTTGCTTGGTGTAAGTCACAGGGGCTTGCAGTCGTGTCCAGCCTGACCGTCACAGAGGAGCTGTCGGGTGCCCTGGGCAGCGCCGTCCCGTCTCTGTCAGCCGGCGAGTGGTACAATCTGAGTACTCGGCAGCTTCTCTGCCGGTGGTGGCTGCTCCAAGAGACTCATCGTGACACGTGCGAACCTCACGGGCTGTCCAGCGCACGACGGGCGCGAGTGCCACACGACGGAACAGCGTCGAACTCCAGCCCAGCTGCCGCCAGACAACTTCCGGGTGACGTCAGCGTGCGCTGCACCAATCAAACGCCGGGCGCCACCGACAGCTCACCCGTATTCTGTAGAAAAGGGGGACACGGCAGAGCAGACCTCTCGGCGGGGCGCCTCGGCGCGCGGCGCCAGCCACCGGCCGTATTGAGCATTTCAACGACAGAACACCAGAGCGGCGGTGTCCCACACAGCGCACGTGCTAAACGCTACGATACATGGGTTAACTAACTTCCAGCGGTCCACTGCGCGACTGGCAATTAGCCACTCTATCTGGCAACACCGATCAGTTGGCAACGTCGACTGGTGCCCGAGTTTACCGGGAAAAGGGTTAGTCACGGTCTAGAGTCCACTGCAGAGCGCATTGTCGGGTATTCTCTGTTCTAAACTGTCTACATCAGCTGGCCAAAAACGCTACCTTGTGTGGGGGATGGTAAATCTACCGATATCGCAGCATCTACTTGTTACCACTGCCTGTCTAATTTCTGATGGTGTGGGAAGTCGGGAGCGGCGGCGTCCCCTTCCGCCCGACGCGGCGGCTACCAATAGCACAATAGGCTGTCGTGCTCCTGAGCCCGGCGCCAGCCCTGCCGGGCTCTGCGAAACAGACCTCTGACGTGCAGCACCATTCGTCGCCACCGCCAGCCGGCGCACACCGGGTCGAGGCGGCCGTCATTCGTTTAACAGAGGCGCCGGTCCCTGTTGGGGGAACCACAGGGGCGCCAGCCATCGCTACCGAACGCCCGCGCCGCGCCTTTCGTCAGCAGGTGGCGCTCAAAACGGGACCTGCGGCGGTGGCCTGCAGACGACACGCCTTCGGTCGGCTGAGAGAATCGTCGGTATGTCTGGTAAATCACCCATCTCTCGACCCTGTCAGATCAGTTGGTCTGGAGGGTCTGCTGGATCAACTTTTGGAGTACCTGGTGGACCGTTAGTCCCGGGCCCTGGCAGCTCATCTGTGGACCCGGCGTCCGAGGGTCTGCTGTGTGTCGCACTCTACCGACCCTGGTAGATGTCGATAATCTTGTCTTGGTCGACGTACTCGAAGATATGCGGCGCGTCCATCAAGATGCCGATCGTGCCGGCCGTGGTGACGGCAAAGAAGAGGTACAGCTGCAGTCGGTCGATCACCATGGCAACGTACTTCCAGTCCTCGCGGATCTGAGAACACGACCATAAAGCGTCAGCAGAAGCTCCAGAGGACCCTAAGTAATCACGCCTCTAAACGTAAATTCGCACTCCCTTTCCTCTTTAGCAGCGAAATGTGAAGTATGCGTTTAAAAAGTAAATGGGGATGGTAAATCTGCTGTAAAAATTCGTTCACATTACATAGCTGATCTACCTTCATTCCAATATTGGAATGAAACACACAACATAAAGACACGTGAGACATTCAAAGATCCTAAAGATAATTAACAATATACCTTCACACAGATGCAAATATGACAGACATAACACATTTGTGAATGCCAGATATGCTGAACCATTGGCCCCAGTTCAACTTCCACGGAACCATTTATGTGGTCGGAAGCGTTGTATGTATGCGCATACATGCATTCGTTGCCGACCCTGCTGCCGTGCGCTGCCCACTCGCCATTCTGTCGGGCGGCGGCGGTCGGGCGGCGACCACCTGTGCCCGCAGCTGGGCCGGGGCGCCGCTCAGCTCACCTGTATGTACTCGTTCTCGTTCCTCAGGTGTTCGGCGATAAACTCGACGGCCTCTGTGGCCTTATAGGCCTCGGCGGTTAGGAACACGGAGTCGGAGACATCACTGTCCCGGCGCACGTCCGTGCCGTGCGGGTCGAGGCCGACCCCGCCGCGGCTGATCTTGCAGTTGGGGTGGTGCATGTCGGAGAGCTCCATGGTCTCCATCTTGGGCTTGGAGTAGTTGGTGGAGAGGTCGGGACTGGCGAACGGCGGCGGCGCGTGACCGCCTCCGGGCGTGTGCCCGCCCCCGCCCGGTCCCTCCATCATCCACCGCAAACGGGTCTTCCGCGGCCGCTTCATGAATAGGAAAATAGGCATGTACTTGAGGAAGACGACCCGTATCCAGTTGGGCATGTGGTGGGTGCGCGGCCCGCGGAAGTTCCAGTTGATGATGACCACCGTCACCAGGATGGATAACGTGTTCATGACGAAGGTGAAGAGCAGGTACTTGGCGATCAGCGGCAGCACCAGCGACGTCGGCGGCAGGATCTTGGAGACGAGCAGCAGGAACACCACCAGCGAGAGCAGGATGCTGATTCCCAGCGTCACCTTCTCTCCGGCCTCAGCCGGCAGGTAGAACACCAGCACGCACAGGAACGAAATGAGCACTGTCGGCAGAATCAAGTTCACCGTGTAGAACAGCGTCTTGCGCCGGATCGTGATCCAGAAGGTGATGTCCGTCTCTTTGGGCGTCGTCTGGTTCTTGTGGTTGAGGTAGGCGGGCACCTCGACGATGTCCCAGGTGCCCGACTTCCAGTAGTCGGAGAGATCGACGAACTCCTTGTTGTTGAACAGCTTGAGCGAGACCTGGTCGCCGTTGAAAGTCCAGCTGCCGAACTTCATCACACACGTCTGCTGGTCGAACGGGAAGTACGTGACGTCGATCGTGCACGAGCTCTGCGGAAACAGAAACGGATGGGTCAGTATCTGCGTGCCGGCCTCGTGAACACATGTCAAAATACAGAGATAACGCTAACATTCGGGTCAGTAGGTACGAGCGACATAAGTTCCCCAAGTATTGTGCCTGTGTGCACTTGCACATTGCTGCAGATGATCAAGATTGGACTTACGGACATGTTACAGAAACCTTTTAACAGAGACATTGAGAACACATCCTTTCGAGACGAACACAGTACCACTATACTAGATAGTACCTCTATTATTGACAATGTTGCGAACCACAAGCTACAAAGAAACGTAACAAAAGCGTATGCTATGGAAGTTAAAGCGGTGTATCGGCTGACAATCACAACTGGGTGGATCGTCTATAGAGGTATTAAAGTGGTTAAAGGAAACAGTTCACTTTCCTGAAATTAGTATTTTGCTATGGATTTACGATTTTTTATGCTCAAACTGATCAGAAAATAAAATAAAACCTTTTTGTAAAAACAATTATTTTCTATATTCTAATATAGGACGAACTATATTCTATGTAAAATAATGTTTGACGCGGAAGCTTATTACGCGTTGACCAATCATATTGCGTAGTTCAAACCTACGCATGCTGCATTAGCTGTAAGCAGCATGCTGATTGGCTGACGATGACGTGGCTGCATTCCTGTGCAAGGCACACATTCCTCTGCAAGGCACTCTTTTCGGAACGAGAAATGGAATATCTTCGTCTAGGGTGATCGTTGAGCCGTAAAAGCTCCTGATTTGTGCTAGTCCCAGCTCAAGCTACGAAACTGCTATTCCAGTTCAAAATCCAATGTTAAAAGTGAACTATTTCCTTTAACTTTGGAACACAACGATTAAGTATTTATATTAGTCCGGAATACTTTAACCCTCGCATGTGTGCGGCGTTTGCCAGCTTCTAATGTGTAGGGGGGGGGGGGTCGGTTGGACCCCCCTTGCCGTTTGGCCCCTGATCGAGCTAGCCCTCGCCCGCACATGCCATTTTCCCATCCTAGAACGCACATGGGGGGGGGGGTTGCCACCCCCCCCCCCGCGCCATTTCGTTCCTGTTGGAGATAGAGCTTAGCAGTAAAGACCAAAAAGATTCTTTGGGAAGAGACGAATCCAATGATACCCAGTTTTACCTTCTCAGGTCAGTCATTGACCTTCCAGGTCAGGTCAAACTAAAAAATGTTGCTGTTTTGGGTCACCGTTGGATATCAAGTGCGCTGCTTATCAAATACCGATGACGATGCTGTTTTCTGGTGCTAAGCCAGCTAGAACCTCTTTGTCACACTATCCGACCAGAATTTTGCTGCTGAGGTCATTTCAGGTCAAGTTAGGTCAAGGTCAATTATATGTGTTTGTATGTCTGTGTGTGTCTGTGTGTATACTGATGTGTGCACCGATTGTTTTTGGGTCCATATCACATGAAATCATGATCTGAGAAGCTTTTACCAAAAATGCAGTCAAAAAACTTCACAAAAAGTAAATTCAGCTTGCCTAAAACGCAATTATCTTAGATGACCTAGGTTGACCTTGACCCTGACCTTGACCCCTGTACATCGTCGAACAATATGTTCCATGATAGGTGGGAGGTAAGACTGGCAAAAAAGGCCGAAATCAGGGTGTCAAAAGCTCACAAGGCCCATGGCAAACGCAAGATGTTGAGAATTGGCCATTTGGGTCATGACATGACCTGAAAAACAAGGTCATATCTCCGAAACCAAAAATCACAGAAACTTGAAATTTTCAGTGGACATCAAGAGAGGATAGACAAGCAGCTATACGAAAAATCAGCCTTCTAGCTCTAAAAATGTTGAGTGCAGAGCAGAAAGACTGCCTGGGGGGGGGGGGTGGCAACCACCCCCCCCCCCATGTGCGGGCGAGGGCTAGAGCTTCGCGGAAAAAAACGAGCGTGTTGCCCGTGACGAGAGGAAGCCGATGATACCCAATTTTAAGGTCCTAGGTCATTGGTTGACCTTCCAGGTCAGGTCAATGACCCAAAGTCGGGAAAATCGGGACCCGTTAGAAAGTCGTAAAGTGTGGCTGCTAAGGGGTTTTTCGGGTTGCTGATCACGAATATTGTGTTAGTTTTGATCACAGATGATGTCTTTAAGCATTTAGACCAGGTCGGGTCAGGTCAGGTCAGGTCAACCAGTACGCGTCGTGACGGGTATTCGTAGTACGTGTCAACCGCCTCTTACAGCTTCGTAACATGTTACGAAGTCGCCAAAACTACTTCGCAAATGTTCAAATGGTTGCTAAATTCGAATTCAGCTCCAAAAACTAGCCTAGAAACATGTAAAACTCGAAAAAGTGAAACGAGGTCACCCGAGGTCACCAAAGGTCAATGACCTGACCTGACCTTCAGGTGACCTTGACACCCACCCTAATGTATGGGAGCAACATCAAATCACATGTTTGAACGTTTGAAACCACGAAAAGCTTGCAAACGCGCGGCTAATGTGAGCCGACATACGCAAAATCTCGATTCCGGCCAAACATGGTCACGGAAAAGAGGTCACAGGTCAAAGGTCATTTGGGTCAGGGTCATGAAATTTTCAGGGTAGGTGTAAAATTGATCAATGCGAGGGTACTGAATGTTTCATCGCGATCGGTCGCTTTTTACGCGAGTTATTCGCGAAAAACCATGGGGGGGTCCATCCGACCCCCCCCCCTACACATGCGAGGGTTAAGACCATCGGCATCCGATAATTTGTCCCTCCCCAGAAGCCAACTGGTGCAATTGGACGGCATTCGTGCAACATCAATTGCATTCAAAATGTTGAGCATGGGAAACCTTTGAAGCGTTCATGCGGTTACTCGAAACATCACGACCACATGAAAAGCGTTTGATAATTTAAGAATGCCTTTTTCTGCCCAAAAAGACCAAAAAAGGTTTCTGGAGAACCCCAGTCAGCGGCTATTACGCCCCATATTTTGTTTACGCGTCGAAATACGATGCCTGCAACTGCTGGGCTCATTAGTTTCTCATTAGTAACCGAGCTGGGGATAAATGGGATCTTCGGGCAGCTGTCGCCGACACAGCTGCCCTGCCCCGCTCAGCGTTGTTTACACGCAGCTCCGAGTAATACCAGAAGCAGTGACTGACTGACGTCGCGAACCAGTGTCGGACTAGGCGGTGTGTCGGTCACCAAACGGCCCACAAAGAACGTCCAATGCCATAGGACCTTATCACGAGCCGCGCCGCGTGCGTGATGCACCCAACTTCCAAATGCGTTTGCTGCTTTTAGAAGCAAGACAATCGCTATAATGAGGTCACAATTGCCTCTTATTTCCACACCTATTCAATAACCGTTTACGAATAGGTAAGCACAATAACCAAGCGAGAACTAGAGGAAGAAACGAGAAGGAGGGATAGATGAGGAGGGATAGATGAGGAGGAGAAAGAGAGAGGAGAAAGAGAGATGAGTGGAGGAGCGGCCGGTGATGAGCGGTCGGTGCGCTGCGGGGGTGGCTCAGAGGCCGCCGACGGACCACCCACCACCGTCCGTCCGTCCGTCCGTCCGTCCGTCCGTCCGGGTCGGGAAGGGCGCCGGCGGCCGCCCGGCGCCGATTACCCAATCTGGCGGCGCCGGGAGCAGCTGCGCCGCGCCGGCCGGCACCCATGGCCCGATATTGGCGGGCGCCACCCGCCACGTCTGAGGCCGCGTCACATGCCCCGCCAGAGCTGCTGCGTAACACCTCATGTGACGCTGAGGCTGCAGTGACGCCCTGTGAGCTCCTGTGACCGAGAGACGTGCCTCCCTCGCCGCTGGGAACCACCGACTGCCGACAGGCCATTTGAGGATTGCCGTGCCGACAATCGGCCGTCGTTTACGGGAAAAGGAGCTCAAATAGGGGTCACGAGCATCGGATCTACGCTTGTGTCAATATAGCACGTCTGCCAGACGTTAGCAGATCAATAGGCTCTGCTCTTGAAAGCGGCGAGCCGTTGGTCGGTCTCCATGGCAACCCGGGTGCCGCAGCATCGGCGTCTCATGCTGAATGAAGTGTCGCTATCGGCACAGCGCCAATCGTCGCCATCGACATGACGGAGGTCGAACACAAAGGCCGGAGCGCCGCCGCAGGCCCGTAAGGAACGCTTTAGAGACCCCTTGTATAACAGGCTCTCCCACACATAACAGGAAACGAGAAAAACGCTCCGAGACTCGCCGCGATAAACGCATCCGTTCCGGAACTGAGGAAGATTTCAGGAAGTGCGGGAACCTGCGGTTAAAGAAGAAATCTTGTGCAGTCCCAGCCACTGTGGTTGAAAGGGAACAGACCTATAGCGTAGGAAATTATAGTAGAAATGTTGTAGGATGACCTCGATGACGTAACTGAGCGGAAATGGCAGCAATTATAGATAGCATGAATAATAGGCATTATCAAGGATAAATAGGCAAGCATGTGGTATAATAAGCTTAATAGGCATTTATTTTCCTAGGTCCAAGTAAGTGAAAAGATCCCAGGCGAATAGATAGAAGCATAGGTACGTACATTCAGGACGACTAGCGTCCAAGTTCGAGTGTTGTATCTAATGACAAGTTTCCACTCAGTTCATCTTCCTGTCACGGCTCAGCTCTATGTGAGCGTCACCCATGTGAGCGTCATCCCTCTGGCGTATCATTCACCTGGTAAATGGCCGGTGGAATCCAGAGTACCTCTCCGTTGGGATGCACCAGCACGTTGGACTTGTAGCGCACCTCGTAGTTACCATCAGCGCTGAGAAGGGGACACAGAACGGTTACTGTCGTAGGAGCACGAGTTGGGATCATCCGGCGTCAGCACTTGATTCATCAACTCCGAGACAGTCGTGCTTTAGCAGGGCCGGCGGCGGACGAGAGACGTAGCAATTTACAAAACACCGTCTCACATGACACTGGCAGTGGCGACTACGGCGAACATACAGTAAACGAAAAACACTCCTTATACATACATACACTTCACATACATGTATGACCTTTACGGAACATCCGTGACTGAACTAGAACAAGGCGGTAGCCCTTACAGCAAGGTAGTGGCAACGTGGATATGAGCGCTAGTGTCATATAGTGATATAGTGTCATATGGTGTCATACTGTGACACATCGAGGTGCTCGCCTACAGTATAGTTTTAGATAGTGGATCGGTTTAGTTGTGCCGGTTAGATAGTGTCAGTAGGACGCTTTCAGTTAGACAGTGTCAGTAGGACGGCATCGGTTAAAAGGTGTCTTTAGGACGGTATCAGTTAGACGGTAAGTATCAGTTAGACAGTATCAGTTAGACGGTATCTTAAATCTTCAGGGCGATATCGCTTAGACTGTGTCAGTTGGACGATACAAGTTAAACGGTGTCAGTTAGACAATAAGTATCAGCTTGCCGGTGTCATTTGGACGGTATCAGTTAGACGGTATCATTTGGACGGTAGGTATCAGTTAGACGGTTAAGTATATCAGACAGTGTCAGTAGAGCGAATCAGTTAGACGGTGTCAGTAGGACGGTGTCAGCTAGACAGTGTCAGTTAATCCGTGTCAGTTGGCATTGGCAGAGCAAGGATTGCAATGCTGGACGCTATACGGAAGGACATGCTCTTAAAAAACTTTTTGTTCCAAAAACTCTTCGGATTTCGCAATGTCAGATACGCACTGCCGTGCAATTCAAAGAACCATTTCCCAAGGAACATTTTCTTTCCCAAGGAATGTTTTCTTTTACGTGGAAAACAAAAGTTTTCCATTTTGAAAGCTGAGGGCAATTAGTACCTATATACTCCAGCTAACCCTCTCCCTCCAGATACCTGAGTATCAGTTGGACGATTGCACAGTTGGATGGTGTCGGCTAGTCGGTGGAAATTGGCTGTACTGCGTTGATTTCAGCAAAAGCAGTTGTGGGCTGCGATAAGACTAAATCTAATTTCCTGTGGTGAATTTACCAGTGGCTAGTAGTTAGCATGTGCTGCGAAAGCCAATTTTGTAGATAATATTCAATTTAATGTCTTTTTAATGTTAAACTATAATGCGCGGACTATGTTTAAAATAAATTCTAATCAGCCTATCAGCACTTACGTATCTACAAAGCGATGTATTATTTTCCTGTGACGATTTATAGACCTCCTTGCCCGCGACTACGCGGCAGTGAAGTGAACCCGACTTACTTGTTGAAGAGCACGATGTCGGGTTTCCAGACCTTGTCGGGCGGCAGGCGCAGCACCTGAATACCGTGGTAGTCCGACTCGTCCCACCGCAGCTGATAGTCGGTCCATTTCTGTACCCAACAGACGCAGAGGGTCAGTCACCGGCGTACACACACAGGACACTGGGCAGTGAGCACACCAGGGGCGTCAACCGCGCACATGTGTCACGCAACACAACACAGAGGTATTTATTAGTACATGAGTATCAAATTTTTAGGTTTAGGTGGCCCAAATCCCAAAGTTTTGTAACTTTCACTATAAGGTGTCAGCTGACTATCGCGAAGGGACGACCTCGGGCGGCAGTCGGCATCATGTTCCCCCTTACATAAGACCTGACTTTAAACACATCGACATAAAAATTACTGCTTTGGGAGTCCAACTCCCCTCCCCATCCCCTATCTTTCGACTCCCGGATCGATGTGCATTCGTGCCCTTTACCCGACAGTAGTTCTCAGTGAAACGGATATTAGCTTTGGCTACTGTGCCTTACAAACGCCTTATCGAGTCAGTTTGCTATGGAACACGACGACAGAGAGACCAAAGGACTGATACTCGGAAAGTCCATGGACCAGCCCCTGGAGTCTGAGGACCGGTCCTCAGGATGCAGGAGGTCGACTGTCGGGTCAGAACAGCCGGCCCACGGGACCGATCGACCCGCCCCCGGGGTCAGGGTAGGATCACCGAGGGCGGCGGCCGACCGCGGGCCGGTCGGCAGCGGCCGGCAGAGGCCAGTGACGGCCTGTATGCCGCCGGCACCGCCGATTCAGCCGGCTGTCATCGGACAAAGCCGGTCTTCACTAGCGGTAATGGCCCACCAAGCAGCTACGCTTCTCCGAATGGTCGGTGCTGGTCGCCACGGACTGCCGACCATCTTAGAAGGACCGGTGGGAGTTTTAACGGACCATGGACCTTCTTAACCCGCGCCCGGTAGGGGGGGGGGGCGAACCGGCCCCCCTGTCCTTTTCCGTCGATATCTCCTAAGCGGCTAGAGATATCGCCACCAAACTTTCAGGACCCCTCCGGACATCAATTTTACATATTGTGACAATTTTCTTATAGAGGCTATGATAGGTTGGCCACAAATGACGTCAGAATGACGTCAAAGATAAAGCTTTCAAAATGGTATCATTCTGTTCCTCTTGAACAGCCAAGTCGAATGATATGCAATAGTAAGCATTTCGACCATTCTTAAGACTTAAGTTGTACTTAAGATGTGCTTAACTTTTTAAGTACCACTTAAGCAAGCAAAAAGTGTATCATTCGACGCGCCTTGACGTGCTGAGTTCACTGGTATTTTGTTTTTGCTCTATCTTAATTAGATCAAAAGTTAGAAGCGAAAAACTTTTGACCCGTTTTAGCGAAATTTTTACATTCATACCCCACAAAAACCCTAAATATTGACCTAAAGCAACAAAATTTGCACAGGGGAGAGAAGTAACTAGAGTGGGCCCACCTACCTACCAAATTCGGTGTTTCTAGGTGCCATAGGAGCCAATCGCGAGGGGGGTCGCATCGACCCCTCTGCCAGGTCGTGTTATGAAAAATGCCCTGCTAAGGCGAGGGTTAAAAGGACCGGTGATAGGTAGTCGTCAAGGACTAGAGGTGGCAAAGGTGAAAGGGTTTGGAACCAAACTCGAACCAGACCCGACTGGTCATTTTTAGAACCAGTCAGACCCGCTCTAAGTTAGAATCGGAACCAGTTGGACTCGTTCCCTAAAAGTCAATAATTGCAAGGTATTTGCATCATTAGGCGCATCAACTAAAACAGTTTTTTTCCCAACTGGGTATACCTACCTACTTATGACTTATGAGCTTAACTGTGTGCAAAAACATGCCATGAGCCATGGACATCTACATACCGGTACGTAAAGGTCTATGCATGAACAAATGTTTTCCTTCTATTCACTTAATATTTTGCAATCAGGTTTAGTATGTGAGAAGTGTGGTAGGTATATGGCAGGACCCGCTTGGACCCGTCCGAAGATTTCCAGGACCCGATCTGGACCCATATGGGTCCACACCGGGTCTATGGGCCATATTTTGCCACCTCTATCAAGTACCAAAGACCTTCTTAGAAGAACTAATGTCAGGCACCACGGACAAAGGTCTTTTTTAGGAGGACCAGTGCTAGTCGCCACTGACCAAAGACCTTCTTAGAGGGACTGACGTTAAAGTGACCATCCCACCGTCCTTAACATTATACATATTTGAGTTTAGATAGCCAAACTGGGGTCCGTGGCTCACAATCACTGGTTTTGGCAATCGCAACGTCGTGAAATGCCTTAAATCGAAAATATTTTATTTCAAAGTTGCAGCATTTGGATTCATACGGGCTGATGCATTTGAATGCCCTTTCTGAATTTGTGACGTCAGTGCAGATCTACCGAATTAAAAATATTATGCTAAAACCTTTGTAAGGCTGTGGACTGTGGTGGTATATGCTGCTTTGCGCGCAGCATCCGCCGCACTTTTAACCCGCGCCCCGTAGGGCTACTGGCGGATCCTATCACCCGTAGGGGGGGGGGGGGCGTTTCGGCCCCCCCTAAAATCTCGGAAATTTACCGGCCGATTTTCAAAATTCAAACGGTGTTCGATAGCCCCACCGGGGAACTACCTTGTGACCAAATTTCATTGACCCAGGTCAAACCGATGACGTCACAGGTCAGGTCAAAGGTCAGATTTTCACCGTTCACAGGCATTTCAAGAAATGTGTTGTGAAATCGAGTAAATTGGTAAGTTATTGAAAACCATCGATGGTACATTGTTCGTCAAGCACATACTTCGCTATCTGAGGTCACTGATACCAGGTCAGGTCACAGAGGTCAGGTCACTGGGGGTCACAATATGAAACTGTCGTGTGATACATGTTTTATGGTCCATTTTACATGACAAATACGATTATGCGGGTCAGGCAGCCTTTGTGGTCAGTTTAGATTATGTTCCGGTTAAGGTCAGGTCAAGGTCAGGTCAAGGTCAGGTCAAGGTCAGGTCAAATTAGGTCAAATTTCAAAGTTGATACTTTTGCATAAAATGGGTATCGATTCGATGCAGCTCGTCACGGGGAGTCCAATGGTGGTCTTTGTTTTGCCCTACGTGGTCTCGAATTGCCAAACATGGAGTTTAAAAATTTGACGTCATCATTTTTGAACAGTTTTTTTTTCGCTATAACTTCGCCAAAAAAGGAGATAGCGATCTGAAATTTGGTATGCGGATAGAAGACGGTAGGTACTATCACATATATTCCGATGTTTTCGAAACTAAAAAAACCTAATGCATTTTTTGGCTAATATATCCAAAAAATTGCATTTTTGATTTTTGGGGGTCAAAACTCAAAAATTTCAAAAATCTAAGATAACATTTTTGTAGCCCTGTCAATTCTACACCTTTTATGTCTGACCATTTTTCTGTATCTTCAAAGCTGTAGGCCTGACAGCTCTTCTCGCGAAGGTCTTTTTTCGGTCGAAAAGGGCAGAACATGACGTCATTCTGACGTCATTTGTGGCCAGCCTATCATAGCCTCTGGAAAAAAAAAAATTAGTCACAATGTGTAAAATTGATGCCCGGACGGGTCCTGAAAGTTTGGTGGCGATATCTCCAGCCTTTTAGGATATATTGACGGAAAAGGACAGGGGGGGGGGGCGTTTCGCCCCCCCCCCTACGGGACGCGGGTTAACCTTCCAGGCGGTGGGGGGCATTTTTTTGCCCCCCTTTAGTTTTTTTCTATTTATCTCGAGAACCGCTGCGCCGATCGTCACCAAACTTTCAGTACCCTCCCGGGAGCAGCTAGCGCACATGGTGACCAAAAATTTTTCCAAAGGCTATGATAGGTTGGCCGCTAATGACGTCAAAGTGACGTCATTTTTGCCATTTTCGACCCAAAAAAAGGTTTCGCGGGAAGAGCTGTCAGGCCTACAGCTTTAGAGATACAGAAAAATATTTTAAACATAAAAGGTGTAGAATCAAAAGGGCTACAAAACTGCTATTTCGGTTTTTCGATTTTTTTTGGATTTTGACACCCAAAAATCAAAAAATAGATTTTTTGAATATAATAGCCAAAAAATCCAAAAAGTTTTTTGAATTTCGAAAAAACCGGAATATATGTGATAGTCCCTACCGCCTTCTATCTACATACTAAATTTGAGATCGATACCTCTTTTTTGGCCAAGTTATAGCGAAAAAACTGTTCAAAATTGATGACGTCAAATTTTTCAAACTCAATTTTTAGCAATTTTAGACCTCGTAGCGCAAAACAAAGACCACCATTAGACTCCCCGTAACGAGCTGCATCGAATCGATACCCATTTTATGCAAAAATATCAACTGTGAAATTTGACCTTTTTTGACCTGACCTTGACCTGACCTCCACCAGAAAGTGACCTAAACCGTACCTGATGGTCTTATAACCAACACCATTGAGTTGGAAATGAAAAACTGGCCATAAAACATGCATCACATAGCCTTAGTAAAGTTGGGCTCATGTGGTGACCCTTGGTGACCTTTGGTGACCTGACCTGTGACCTGACCTGGTATGACCAGTGACCTCTAATAGCAGCATATGTACTAGACAACTGACGCCTTATCGCTGATTTTCGACAAAATGCGTTTTACTCGGTGTTATAGCGCTTTCCCTAGAAGCCCCGTGAACGGTGAAACATTTTATCTTTGACCTGACCTGTTACGTCATTGGTGACCCCGAGGTCAATAAAATTTGGTTTCCTTCGACAAATTTGACAGGGCTATCGAACGCCGTTTGAATTTTTCCGGATCCGTCCAGTAGTTTCGGAGATACGGGGGGGGGGGCAAAAAAATGCCCCCCCCCCCACCGCGCGGAAGGTGGCTGGTAGGCCCACCGCCTGCCGGGTTAAGATACCTACCAAATTCTTGCTTCCAAATGACGTCATTGGAATAGTGTAGGCTCCAAAAATAAACAAAAGTAAAAGTCTGATATAAAAATGATTTTTTTTGTGAAATTTGGAAAATTTTCATTTTTGCTCTTTGTGAAACATGTTACACTACTTTTATGCCTATTCATTAAAGGTAGTGTGCCAGCTTTCTTGGACCGTATGGAGTT